AAAACCCGAGATTTATTACAAAAACTTGCTTAAAGGCTGTTTCGGACAAATTTTACGTTTTTTCGACTTATTTTTTCTGAATTTCGCAATTCTTCAGTGTGTTCAAATAAAATTTTTCGAATTTTTTTGTTTTTAATCTCAAAAAGGTGCTTAAATACTCAAAAAATATTATTTTTAGTCTATTTTGTCAAATTTTTGGCTTGTTTTTAAGGAAACAATTGCGTTTTTAGCTAAAAAAAACTTGCTAAAACGATCAAAAATGCAAAAATTATCTAAATTTTTTATTTAATTTATTGATTTTTTGGTTCGTATTAGTAAAATCTCGCCAAAAACCTAAGATACCATTACAAAAACTTGCTTAAAAGCTTTTTCGATTAAATTTTACGGTTTTTCGACTTATTTTTGTCTGAATTTTACTCAAAAATCAAGTAAAACATTTTTACAATAAATACCGGATGTTAAAAACGGAACACACAGTATATTTTCTAAAAACAAACATTTCGTCAAAGATGTTTCAATCAAAAAAAACTTTTTTTTTTCAAACAAAAAATTATTCGTCCAATAACCCATCGTAATTCCATTGTTTTCTCTCTCTTTCTCTCTCCCTCTCTCTCTCTCTCCTCTGTCTCTTTTCCTACTTCTCTCTCTCTATCTCTCTATTAAAAAAACGTTTAAAATTTTATTTAAGAATTTTATTTTATTTACAATCAATTTTAAAATGATCCTCGATTTGGTACAAGGCCTTGTCTTTCGTCTCCGGTAGAAACAAGATCAAAACGATGGTCCCCACCATTGCCAACATTCCATAAACAAAAAACGTCCCCTCGAGTCCAAACTGCAGAATCATAGTTGGTGTGGTTTTAACCACCGAAAAAAAGGCCAAATATGCCATTAGGGCCGAAATCCCGCTTCCAATCCCTCTATGAGCCAACGGGAAGACCTCACCCATCATGGTCCACGGCAACGGCACAAACCCAATGGTAATAAAACTGACATAAGTGACGAGTGCAACCAACGGAATGAAAGTGTACCCCGAAATACCTGGATAAAATCTCACAGCAAATATGAAAGAACTCAAAATGAAAAGCGAGACAAAAGTCCCAATCCCACTAATGATGGCCAAAGGACGACGTCCTAATTTTTTCAAAAGGACGCACGCAAAAACCGACATAAAAACCCGAATTGTGTCAATGATCAACATTGCGAGATACTCATCGAAATTTCCACCCAAAGTCTCCTGAATTATGGAAACTGAGTAAAATGTGATTGCGTTAAGACCCGCCCATTGACACGTGACGAAAAAAACCACGATTATGACCAATGGTTTGGTAAATTCGGGTTTATTTAGGGTTTTTAGTGTGTTGAAAAAACTTTTTTTTTCCTCGTGGTTTAATTCCACTTGTCGGGTGAGTAAAACTTGCAATTCCTTCGTGGCCTCCTCTGATTGGCCTCTGCACCACTCGAAGGCCCTTTTGGCCTCCTCAACACGCCCCATTTTGGCCAACCACGTGGGGCTTTCGGGGGCAAAAGCCATGAAAACGAGGCAAACCACCGGAAAGCTGCAACAAGTCAAGGCTGTGTCTTGCCAATTGACGAAAGTCCCAATCAAATGGGACAAAAACAGTCCCAGAGCGATGGCAAAACTGATGGAGGCGAGGAGGAACCCCCGGAATTTGGGTTCGGACGTTTCGCTCATGTAGACGCCCGTCGGGGGGCCCAAAAGGCCGACGCAGAAGCCGGTGAGGAAGCGCCCCATGAGGATCATGGTGATGGAGGAGGCGCAGTAGAGGATGAGCCAGCCGATGATGCAGGGGAGGCAAGTGAGCATGTGGGTGGCTCGTCGGCCGATTTTCTCCATGAGGATGCCGCCGAGGATGCAACCGAAGGCCATGGGTAAGGCCGCCATGGAGGCGATCCATGAGGAGGTTTCCGCGTCGATTTGGAGGGTCGTGGAGTTGAGTTGGGGGAGGAGGATGGCGGAGAAGCCTTCGGTCATGCCCAAGGAGGTGGTGATGAGGATGGGGCCCAACGCCACGAATGTCTGCAATGGAAAAATAACTCGCGTTTCTCGAGATCTTAGAGAGTCAAAAAAGTGCATAAAACGTTATTTATTTTTTTGAGTGTTTGTGAAATCTCGAAAATAGTCAATTTACCTTAAGTCGTAAAAACGCTTAAAGTGTGGTTTTCTAGACGTAAAATTACGCGCTGAACACGATGCAGCAAGTTAAAATACTCAACGATGCATAGTTCCTAATAGTTTTGAAGTTATAGGCGGATTTAAATTTTGGATATTTTTGACTTTATCACAAATTTTCTCGATAACTATTCATCGTAGAGCACTGAACTTTTTAATATATGATAGAAAATTCAATTTTCTATCCAACGGTACCAAATACAAGACGTTATCTTTAATCAGTCCGGAGTTATTGCCATTAGACCGCTCCGGGTGCCGAAAATCGAACAAAATCTCGGCAAAAATCAAAAAAAAAATTATCTTTAAAATTGATCTATTTTACGTTTTTTACATTTCTAGAGGTCTTAAGGACTCAAATAAGTGCATAAAACGACATTGGGTCAAGTTTCAAAAATTTTGAATTTTTTGAGTTTTTGAAGGTGAGCTGTAGTAAAATCGTAAAAATAGTCAATTTACTAAAAGTCATAAAAACGCTTGAAATATAGTTTTCTAGACGTAAAATTACGCGCTGAACACGATGCAACAAGTTAAAATACTCTACGATGCTTAGTTTTTGAGATATTGAGTAATAAAGTTAAGAATAAGGCTAAAAGTAAAAGCACTATATCCGATTTTGACCAAAAATCAACATTTTTTGATTCTTATGAAAAACTAGTACTATATGTAAAATTAACCGGAGAATACGCCTGAATAAACCGCTTTGACCTAGGACTTATAGTTTTTGAGATATGAATTTTTTTTTGAAAAAACTAAAAATGGCTCTGTACCCGGAACCATAACCCGGGGCGACTTCCGGTTTGCGCCAATAAATAGATAATTTCAAGCTACTTTTAATGTTTTTTAGCTCTTTGCTCTAAATCTTATAGTTTCGTAGAAAAACGCGTTTAAAGTTTCACAATTTTGAKAATTTTSACTTTTTGAACGGCGATTACGGCCAAACTATTAGACTTAGAGCAATCAGTCCAACTCCATCGTAATCAGCGTAAGAAAATCTATCGACTGAGGCCAAAGCCAAGTCGATATCTCGCAAAAAAAATTTGAATTTTTAAACGCCGATTACGGCGAAACTAAAGGAGATAGCCCAATGTGGTTGGTAAATTCGTAATCAGCGCGTCAAAATCTATCGGATAAGATAGGTTTAAATCGAATCTGAGACATGTTCAAAAACACTAGATTTTAAGGGGGGGGTGTTGACAAATTTTTAGTTTTTTTTTATTTGTAAATTGCGGCAAAACTGTGCCTCAATGATGTAATGTTTTGACCTAAACCTATGTAAAATGTTCCGGGGAATCGATTGGCGTCAAAAAAACTGCGAAATTCCTAATAGTTTTGAAGTTATAGTCGGATTTAAATTTTCGATATTTTTGTCTTTATCACAAATTTTCTCGATAACTGTTCATCGTAGAGCACTGAACTTTTTAATATATGATAGAAAATTCAATTTTCTTTCCAACGGTACCAAATATAAGAGGTTATCTCCAATAAGTCCGGAGTTATTGTCATTAGACCGCTCCGGGTGACGTTTTTTGCATTCCTAGAGGTGCTAAGGACTCAAAAAAATGCATAAAACGTTAATGGGTCAAGTTAAAAAATATAAATAATATAAATAAATTTACACAATGTGATCACTTATAGTCATAAAAAATAATATCAAAAGGACAAAAAGTTGGAGCATACTTTTTGAAAATTGAGGATTATGTGATTATTATTAAGTAAAACATTGAACATTTTGTGAGTAGTTTATTAAAAAAAAAAAAAATGACAATATAAAATTACAAAAACCCAAAAATTGGTCATTTTACCTGTCTCACCCTTGGCGAAAACCTCTCATAGTCAATCATCACAATTTTGTAACCACGTTTTCCACTAGTTAAAAATAAACTGCTAATTAATACTTGATTACACTTAATTTATAGCATCATTGTTTTGAATTAACACTAAACAAACACTTATTTAAACTCATCTTCAATTTCGGCCAAAGTCTTATCTTTGGTTTCTGGTAGAAAAACCCAATTGAAAATTGTCCCAAACAAGGCCACAGTCCCATAAACCAGAAACGTCCCATCCGTTCCCAACCCATCAAACATCGCTGGACTTGTTTTAACAACAGTGAAAAACGCCACAAAGGCCATAAACGACGACACACCCGAACCGACATTTCGATACCTCAATGGGAAAATTTCACCCATCATGGCCCATGGTAATGGGACAAACCCGATAGTTATGAACGTGATATAGGCCACGAGTCCAACCATTGGTACTAACGGGTAGTTCAAAGCCACGAAACGAGTACTAAAACTGTACCCACTGAGGAGGAACAAAGAGAGACAAGTCCCAAAACCGCTGATTAGAGCGAGAGGTCGTCGACCAATCCGCTTCATGATGAAACAAGTGACAATCGACATGGCCACTCTGATTAAATCAACAACAAGCATGGCCAAATACTCGTCCAAACCTTGGTTTAGGGTTTTCCCCATTATGGACACGGTGTAAAAAGTCAAAGCGTTAACACCTGCCCATTGGTTGGTCACAATAAACACAACAATAATGGTTAGTGGTTTCAAAAATTGGACTTTTGTCATTTTTGAGTCCAAATCTTTGGGACGTTGTAACATTTCGGTGAGTTCTTTTTTGGCCTCGTCACTATCACCGCGACACCAAAAAAACGCATTTTGGGCCTCAGAATTTTTACCCATTTTGGCCAACCATGATGGTGATTCTGGTACTAGATTTAGTACCACAAGACTTAAAACTGGTAAAATTAATGACACTCCACTTGTGGTCCTCCACGTGAGAAAAGTGCCCAAAAAATGGACTAAAAACAGTCCTAAGGCCATTGCGAGGGATATGGACGCGAGGAGGAAGCCCCTAAATCGGGGCTCGGACGTCTCACTGATGTAAACCCCCGTCGAGGGGCCCAAAAGCCCCCCACAAAGCCCCGTCAAAAAACGCCCAATTAAAATCATCCAAATGTCTCGAGAAAAAGTAATTAGAGTCCAACCCACCAATGAGGGGATTTGGGTCAAAATTTGGGTCGTTTTGCGACCCAAAGTCTCCATTAAAAACCCCCCCAGGATGCACCCAAACGCCATCGGCAACGCCGCCATTGATGCTACAAAAATCACTAAATTGTTGCCAATGTCACGAAAAAAATTACCAATCCAAGAAGCGTCATTTTGATTTGTCACTAAAGTGCTGTTTTGGAGTTGGGGTAAAAGCACAGCGGAATATCCCGAAGTCATTCCGAGGCTGATCGTGGAGAGTAAAGGACCGGTGGCTACAAAAATCTGGGGAAAATTTTTGTTTTGGTTTTGGGGGAAGTACTCACTTGACGAGTCAGTGGAGTTTGGAGGAGGCGAATTTTGGTCTTCATTTTGGCACAGTTGAAGTGAAATGACTTTCACATTGTTTCTTCTTGACGATTGGAAAGTGAAGTGACATTGGATTTGTGTGCAAAGAGCGTGTTTGTGTTTGCGCCGGTTGGGGGGAATTTGCATAATTTCTATTATTGCTTTTAAATATTTTTCCTCAGTTTCATATACAGGGTGTCTTAGAACTCGCGTACTAAGAAAGATAAGATACCAGAAATGTGGGAAAAATGTTTAAAAAATTCTATCTGTCAAAAATTTGACATTTATTTTTTGACATTTGACATATTTTATGTCTTTTTGGAATTATTTTGGAATGAAAGAAGGAGAGGAAAAGGCGCCAATCAAGCTTAAAAATCGTTAATTAACATTTACTTAATTATCCAGACTGCATTAAACCTCGGTTAAATGCAAAAATGAAAAAAATCGAAACACGGGATGACACTTGAAAAAAATAAAGTTTGTATTATAAACAAATTTTGAGAAAACGAAAAAAATTCATTACAGCCCTAAAAAGCCATTGTAAACCTACCATTTTTTTACATCGAATACCCTTTTAATAGGCTTCATTTTCAGCAAAAATGAAAAAAATCGATACACGGGATGACACTTAAAAAAAATTAAGTTTGTATTATAAACAAATTTTGAGAAAGCGAAAAAAATTCATTACAGCCCTAAAAAGCCATTGTAAACCCACCATCTTTTTTAAATCAAATACCCTTTTAGTAAGCTTCATTTTCTAGAAAAATGAAAAAATCTATACACGGGATGACACTTGAAAAAAATAAAGTTTGTATTATAAACAAATTTTGAGAAAACGAAAAAAATTCATTACAGCCCTAAAAAGCCATTGTAATCCTACCATTTTTTTTACACTCAAATGCCCTTTTCATAAGCTTCATTTTCTGCAAAAATGAAAAAAATCCATAGACGGGATGACACTTGAAAAAAATAAAGTTTGTATTTTAAACAAATTTTAAGAAAACGAAAAAAATTCATTACAGCC